CACACACACAACACACACACACAGGCGACACGGGCGCGGAACCTGCAAGAATAATCCATTTTATCAACATAATCAAGGTATTTATTCATACGATTCTCCCCCTCTTTCCCTCCCCTTCCCCTCCACTCCCCCAACTCTTTATTCCGCTCCTCCAACATTTATTCCTCTCCCCTCCCCACTCCCTTCTCTCTCCCTCCTCTCCTCTTCCTCCCTCCTCCCCTCCTCTCCCTCCCCTCCCTTCCCTTTCCCCTCCCTTTCCCCCACTCACGCTGTCCACCGCTGCCGCCTCTTCCCCCGATACGTGATTGTACACGAGTGCCATCAGGAGAGTGCCAGGAGTGTGGTCCGTCCAGGTTTGGCACCAGCTGAGCCACAGCCTGTCCAGTGGCACTGTCTTGTCCGACTCTCGATCGCTGACTGCCGGCATGAACTCGTCCAGGCTGTTCACGTCTGGAAGGGACAAGAAGACGGGAGAACTCATTGGTGAATAAAACGGATAGAGATAAAAGTGGTATATATATATATATATATATATATATAATATATATATATATATATATATATATATATATATATATATACATATATATATATATATTAATATATATATATATATATATAATATATATAATATATATATATATATATATATATATATATATATATATATATATATATATATATATATATAATATATATATATATATATATATATATATATATATATATATAATATATATATATATATATATATATATATATATTTATATATATATATATATATATATATATTATATATATTATATATATATATACATACATATATATATATATATATATATATATATATATAATATACATATATAGATAGATAGATAGAGATAGATAGATAGATAGATAGATAGATAGATAGATAGATAGATAGATAGATAGATAGATAGATAGATAGATAGATATAGATAGATAGATAGATAGATAGATAGATAGATAGATAGATAGAGATAGATAGGTAGACAGATAGATATAGATATAGATAGGTAAGGATGGACAGATATAGGGTAGGTAGAAATAGGGATAGCCAGATCAGATTAATAACTATAGATTGGCATAGATGAGTTGATAGACACACTTATATTGATAATGATAATACTATTAATAATAATTATGGTGATGATTATTATTATCCTTATTATCATAATTATTGTTGTCATCACTGTTATCATTATCATTTTTATTATTATCGTTTTCCTATTAATATGATTATTATTATTATCATCATAATTATTTTATTATTATTCATTATCATTACTGTTATTATCATCATCATCGCTATCATTATCTATTATTGCAGTTGCTGTTGTTGTTATTATTATTATTATTATTATTATTTATTATTATTATTATTATTATTATTATCGTTAATTCATCATTATTATCATTATTAACATTACTCTTACTACCATTACTACTAGTATTACTACTGCTGCTGCTACTGCTACCATTATCATCATCATATTTATTATCGTTATCTTTATAATCATTAGTGTCATTACCGTCAATATCATCATTATCCCAACTATAATTCCAATTATCATTATCACCATAACCCTCTTTATTAATACTTTTACTATCGTCACCATCCCTTTTTCGTGAATCATGTGACCGTAACTGAATCCATCATCTTCACTGCTATTATCATTATCACATTGTTTTATCAACCAACTTCATCCTTACCGGCAACAGGACTAAATTCTCGCTTCTTGATAAGCTCAACATTTTCACCGACGAGTCTGCAAGTCGCCATTCCTACGTCAAACGACTGGAATTTCCTCGAAAGATCCTGGATTTTGGATTTGACCAAGTCGCTTATGATGGCCGCGCTCTCCTGAAGTAACAGAAGGGGGGTTATTGATTGATTGACTGATTGAGGTCAGTGATCAGGGGTTCGTGGTGTGATATCGATTTGTGATGAATTGAAAAGCGCTAGAAGTGATTAGGTTGGTGAATTGGATAGCTATTAAATGCAAGGGGGATTGAGAGGTTGTTGGAGAGTAGCTGTCTTTGATTAATAGATTTTTGCCATCATTAGATAAGAGTTCAGCTATTTGTGCTATGTGTGATTGTCAACTTTATTGAGAGGAAGATGCAGTTTCATAATCAATTCCTATTATCTCCAAACCCTACTCTCTTTAACACACACACACACGCACACACACACAGACACACAAACTCTGAAAAACATGCACACACTGTAACACACATCCCTTCCCTCACACACGCACCCCTACACACACATAAACTCACCTCAGAAAGGGGAGGATCGAACAGCAAGAAAATCCTTGGTGTTTGAGGCTTGTGGAAAGTGACTGCCACTTGCGCTGGAGTTGCGTGAGATCCGCTTGTCTGTCTGTGTTGAGCGAGAAAGAAAAGGTTTAGATTTATTATTTTCATTATGATAATCAACATTGTTACCATCACTTTTGCATATTCTTTTGTTATATATTGTTCGATATCATGATTATTTTTCTTATCAAGATCGTAATCATTATTACTATAATTATTAGCCAAAGTATGCACAGGTACCCGCCCTATCTTTATAAAATCCTAGTTTTTTTTCAAGCTAAGCCCCACCTCATCAACTTTATTCATTGTGAATATTAGATATTCTTTTATTTATCTATTTCTTGATTTTTTCCAATAGGCTTTTTTTCTTCTTCTTTTTTACTATTGATATTACTGAACAATTTCAAAGAAAATGCACTGAAATAACGCTTGCCATAAAGTATCAAGTAGGGGCAAAAAGTGGGCGGAGCTAATGACATCACGTTTAGCTAATGAAAGTACACCTTTCGATATCAGATATTACGAGATAAATAATTATTTGTATAATTTACTCCATATTGTTAAACTTGCCAGGAACAGAACTAAAATTCCCCTCTTTTCTCTATGACAAGGAAAGTTCATTGCCATTAACAGCCGTTCGTATGCTGATTGAACAGGCTAAATGGAAGTGGAGCCGCCTGGGTATATGTACCTTGTTATTTTCATTATTGCTATTATTCTTATTCTTATTGTTGTTTTGTTTTCATTATCATTACTATTCTTATTAGCATTGTTATCACTGTTATTATTATCATTTATTATCATTACAATCATTATCATTGCTATTATTATATTACCATCATCATCATTATAATTATCATTATAATTATTATCATTATCATTATTACCATTATCATTATCATTACTATTAATATAATCATCATTAACGTTGGTTTTGTTGTTATTGTACGACTACTACTGTCATCATTATTATGATTATTATGATTGTCATTATTAACATGATTATCATGATTATTATCATCGTTATTGTCATTATCCTCATAGGTATCATTATCATTACTATCATTATAAATATCATTATCATTATTGTTACTATAATTATTATTATCGTTATTATTATTATTACTATTATTACTATTATCATTATATATATAATATATATATATATATATATATATATATATATATATATATATATATTATATATATTATATATTACACAAGAACTCACGTGAAATCGTCGTGGGTCTCAAGTACTTCCCAAACAGACCGACGCCCACAGTGAATATTCTGAGGTGTGGGCGCCCACGGGTTGTGGGTGTTCCTCTTGCAGAAATGGCCGTCCTGTGGGTTGAGTGGGGGCGGAGGGTGGGTCGGTAAGGGTAGGTGGGTTAGGAATGATTAGATGGATAGGATTAGTGGGTAGATGGACAGACGGGTAGATTGGTGGGTAGGATTAGGTTAGTAGATGTTTGGTGTTTAGATAGGTAGGGTTAGGTGAGTGGATGGGCAGGGGTCGGTTAGTGGGTGGATGAGTGCGTGGGTAAGGGTAGGTGGGCAGATGGATAGAGATAGTAGGTAGTAGTTAGGTAGGTAAGCGTTGGTAGATGGATTAGACGGGGGTGGCGTGTTTGCGAGTGGGTAGGCGAGGGAAGGGAAATGGGAGGGGGGGGGGGGAAGGCGGTGTTCGTTAGAGTTCGATTGCTCAATTTGTTGTTGTTGCTATTGTTCCTTGCATTTGTGTGCATATGGGGGGGTGTTCGAGGGTATGTGTGTGAAATACTTTGTGTGTATTTTCTTTTTTTTCAATCTCGTCTCTGTATTTGTGTATGTGTGCGCAAAAATTTGTGCTTGTATTTGTGCAAGTATGTGTGCATGTGTGGAAAGGTGCGTTTGTGTGCAAAGGTCTTCGTTATCTGAGTTAGCTATTATAAATGATTACACAAAGTACTGTACACGTGAACAACTAAATAGATGAACAAATGAAATAAACTAAAACACCGATAAATCTTGGGGAAAGAATCCACCAATTCCTCATGCATAACTAAACGCACATGGAAAAAATACATAAAACACACATTTCAAAATTCTACTCACGGACAGATGAGTCAGATACATAAGCGAGCCATTGGTCGAGGAGCCGCTGGGCAGGAAGTAGCAGGCGGGGGACGCGGCGCCCGGGTCACACGCCTCGCCCTTCCTGCAACGAGAGAGGCAGTCGCGGAGTTGCGGTGGGCGAAATGTCGTCGTTTTTGCACGGTGTGCGTTGCGCTAATTTTGGTTGAAATGGGTAGACGAATGTAGGAATTGATTACAAGAATGGAATTATTGTGCTAATGTTGTTCTGTGTATTGTGCATTTTGTCAGATTTAGTTGAATTACAACAATGGGCAGGTTCATAACTATTAGATTATATTTTCAAAAAGAAAAAAAAAAGAAATGGCGATGTAGGTCACAGCTGAATAGAACGTAGAACATATCAATGAGGCCACAGTATCTAGACTGGACCACATTTTAAGAAAGCATTGGAATTATTGCCTTATTATTTTTCAAAGAAGACTAACTGTACGAACTGTACAAAGATTCCTAAAGGTAATTGATGCATGTAATTATGGA